CGTTTGACCCCTTCCTCTCCTACAGCCTGGCTCTTTTATTCAAAGAATTGAGCCACGCAGACTGACCGGCACAGTAGGGCGATGCAGGTATTCCTCTACGTACGGCCACAATTGAGCCCTAAAATTCTCGTTGCTAAGCAAGACAACTCTTTGCGTGAGTTTTGCCCCGTNGGCCGTGCAGGGATTCGTGACTTATGACGCGTTTGACCCCTTCCTCTCCTACAGCCTGGCTCTTTTATTCAAAGAATTGAGCCACGCAGACTGACCGGCACAGTAGGGCGATGCAGGTATTCCTCTACGTACGGCCACAATTGAGCCCTAAAATTCTCGTTGCTAAGCAAGACAACTCTTTGCGTGAGTTTTGCCCCGTTTTACCACCTTTCTAGCCACGGTCGTTAAGCGGATCGCTGCCGTTGTTAAACTAGTAATTCGGTCGTTAAGGGAATCCAGCTCCCCCTCCATTGATTTTGCTTGTCAGGAAGTCGCCAAAGGGGGAATCGCGTGACCCCCAGGGGGACGCTGCAAACCGTCATAAAGACAAGTCAGTTGCCAAGCGTCTGAATTTTGATGATGCCACGGTTGTCAGTGTGAAAAACCTTTTTGAGGCTGTTGTAAGTTCGAACGGTCGCTAAGCCAGCCGTCGTACGTAGAGGACTATCTGGACCTCCTTCGAGTTAAGGGGACGCCCCCATCCTAGAAGGCAGTTTTGCCCCAAAGAGGAACCGATTCGGCGTTCGAATTGCCGTTGTGGGTTTTAAAAGCGGGGAAACACAACGAATTCACAAGGGTGGAATTCAACAGAAGAGAACGGAGGGAGGGAAATTGTGCATCCTGTTTTCTGGATGACTCCAGCTGCTTTTTTTTTTTTTTCCTTTTTTTTTTTTTTTTAAAGCTTCGGATGCTTTCCTTGCTGGAACGTCAGGATTTTAGAAATAACAAAGCAGAAAACAGAGAATTTGGCCAGCGTTTCTCCGGCGTGACTCGACCGGCGCTTCCCAAAAGTAGCCAGCAAAGCTGACACTTCTATAGCAACCTTGGAAAATTCCAAAGGTCTTGGGAAAAAAAATACATATATTTCTCAAAGGGGTGGCCAGCTCTGAGCTGCATGTAATTTCAATTTTTGGTGCAATGCAAGGTCATCTGCCCCTGGAGAAAACAGGGTGGATGTCTTGGGGAACGTCTCTTTTTGCTACAGACCTACAGCTTGGAAAGGAAATGTTAATATTCCTGGTTTAAACCAGGGCTAAAAAACAGCTTTGCAGTGTAGAAAGCCCAAATCCAGGTTGTTCTCCCACCAAGCACCGCCACCGAAGCCTCATTCTCACAGCCTGCTTAACCTGTTGAATTCATCTAGGTTCTGAATGCAGCCAGCACTCTGAATCCCAAACTAACCAGCATCCGTTGTTGGCTAGTTTGGGATTCGTGGTGTTGGGTGCATTTAGAAGCTAGGTTAATTCAAGAGGTTAAGTAGGCTGTGAGAATGTGGCTTAGGGTGGCTCTGCTTAACCTGTTGAATTAATCTAGGTTCTGAATGCAGCCAGCACTCTGAATCCCAAACTAACCAGCGTCCGTTGTTCGCTAGTTTGGGATTCGTGGTGTTGGGTTCATTTAGAACCTAGGTTAATTCAACAGGAGGATAATAATAATAATAATAATAATAATAATAATAATAATAATAATAATAATAATAATAATAATAATAATAAGAAGAAGAAGAAGAAGAAGAAGAAGAAGAAGAAGAAGAAGAAAGAAGAAGAAGAAGAAGAAGAAGAAGAAAAAGAAGAAGAAGAAGAAGAAGGATGATGATGATAATAATAAGAATAAGAATAAGAATAATAAGAATAAGAATAATAAGAATAATAATAAAGTTGGAAGGGACCTTGGAGGTCCTCTAGTCCAACCCCTGCTTAGGCAGGAAACCCTATACCATTTCAGGCAAATGGCGGTCCAATTTCTGGCAAGGGGGTCCTGCATTCAGACTCTCCAAATTATTGGAGGTGATTTGCCCCTTCCTTGGGTGCCCCAACACTGGAAGTTTTTAAGAAGAGATCAGACAGAATGGTTTTAGGGTCTCCTGCCTGAGCAGGGGGCTGGACTAGATGACCTCCAAGGTCCCTTCCAGCTCTGTTCCGACTGAAACTCTGCATCCTCCAGAGAAGATGGCCAAACAGATGGACCATCTCGTGCAGAGTCTCCTAACTTCCTCTCATTCCCCCGCCCCTTGCAAAATAATTAGGAAACCACCACACTTTTCGGAATTAAGCACAACTTGGAGATACAAAAAAAAGGGGGGGGGAAAAGAAATACTCTTGTCTCTTTGCTTAAGATTGGACCCCAAATGGCCTTTATGCAGGGATGGGCAACTCTGGTGACTTGATGACCTGTGGACTTCCACTCCCAGAATTCCAGAGCCAGCATGGCTGGATGGCCCCTTTAGGGATGGCTCAGGCATTCTGGGAGTTGAAGTCCACAAGTCGCCATAGTTGCCCACCCCTGCCTTTAAGACAAATGGCAAGTTTGCTTACTATTGGGTTAATTTCCACTATGGCTAGGCCTCAACTTGCAGGCGTTCCAAACTATAACAGTGACTTACAACTGTTGCAGCATCCCTCCTCCTAGTAAGTCCCTTCCCTTCTCACACTGATGATGTTCCCTAGTTGGGTCATAAAAGGTCTGCAAGAAAACCATCCAGCTCAGAGAGCACCAAGGATGCTACAGTCTTTCTACAGTCCTCCTCCTCCTCCTCCTCCTCCTCCTCCTCCTCCCCTTCTAGCACTGATGATGTTCCCTAGTTGGGTCATGAAACGTCTGCAAGAAAAGCACCAAGCTTGGAGAGCAACAAGGATCCCACAGTCCTCCTCCTCCTCCTCCTCTACCTCCTCCTCCTTTCTAGCACTGATGATGTTCCCTAGTCAGGCCTTGCAACGTCTGCAAGAAAACCACCCAGCTCAGAGAGACCACCAAGCCCCCCCCCCATTTGTCGCTCCTCTATAGGGCAAACTCCGCAGCCGCTCTCTGGGTAACGCAGCCTGCTTGAGCCAAAGCCGGAGGGAGGGGTTTCCCACACACCTCCTTTCAAGCTGGCCCAAGAACCCCGGGATCTCCAGCTGCCAGCAGCCATCAAGGCCCCCAGTTGTCTCCAAAGAGGCTGCTGATTAACACATTTCAGCCATGACTAAGAAGCATTCGGTGTAACCTGGGAAGCTGGCACCCAGTCAGAGGTTGTCCGAGAACAGCTGCCAGAGAGACAGCTGGAACCCCGGAGAGAATCCCAGCATCTGATCTAGGGCTCTTTTGGCAAGGGGGGGCTCGGGGGGTGGTGGCAGGGGCTGATAGAGGCTGCCCGTAACAACTCACGCCCAGGGCTCGTTTGGGTTTTGCGCAGGCACCTTCTCTCCTTTGTGCTAAAGCAGGGGTCTTCAAACTTGGCCCTTTTAGGACTTGTGGACTTCAACTCCCAGAATTCCTCAGCCAGGCACGCGTGCCTGGCTGAGGAATTCTGGGAGTTGAAGTCCACAAGTCCTAAAAGGGCCAAGTTTGAAGACCCTTGGTGCTAAAGGCAGAGCTACGAGTAATCCCCGGCTGACGACCGCAACGTAAGACCAAAACGTCCCTTGCTAAGCCAGACAGTTGTTTGGCGGGTTTTTGCTCCATTTTGCAACCTTCTTTGTCACGGTTGTTAAACGAATCACCGCACTAGTTAAATTAGTAACAGGGTTGTTCGGCGAATCTGTCTTCCCCATGGACGTTGCTTGCCAGAAGTTTGCAAAAGGGATCACCTGAGCCCGGACACTGCGACCGTCATAAATGTGAGTCAGTCGCCCAGCGTCTGAATTTGGATCCCGTGATGATGGGCACGCTACCGCGGTTGTGTGAACGGTCGTAAGTCGCTTTTTCAATGCTGTTGTAACTTTGAGCGGTCACGAAAGGAACCGCCGTAAGTCGAGGATTGCCTGTCCAATCACACCACTGATCCTGCCAGAACTCCTCACCCACCCACCACCCCATCCCCGTGGCAGTCCTCCTTTCCGAGGACGCCTTCACACAACCAGTCTCACCTGGGTTTGCAGGAAACATAGATCCACTTCAAATCAGCCTGGGTGGGCAGTCCAGGTGGGCACCCCCAATGGCCACACAATCACATCCACACCTCCTGAGCTGGGCCCAGAGTGCCTCTTGCTGACCCTCACCACAAACCCAGCCAAGTGCTCCCCACCCACCCCCATTCCGGTGGTCGGCCCCCTTTCTGGGCAGGCCACCTTCACACAACCAGCTAAACCCGGGTTTACAGACAACATAGAACCGCTTCAAATCAGCAGGGGAGGAGCAATCCAGGTGGGCACCCACACAACTCCCCCCCTATCATATCAAAGCGTCCTGAGCCCCCCACCCAATCACATCCACACCTCCTGAGCCGGCACCAGACTGCCTTTCGCTGACCTGGGTGTACCCCCCCCCACACACACACACACCACCAACCCAGCTGAAGGTCCCCCTGGCTGACTCAGGAGGGTCTGTAGGACAACTGACTGACCTCACCCCGCCACCAGTTCACCTCCAGACCCCTCACTCTGACCGAATCCACCCCGGGACAACTCAGAGTTACCCCAGTATGGAAGAAACGGCGGAAGAAACGCATTCAAGATAAAGATGACCCAGGGATAGAAGGTGGGGGGACCACAAAAGTGAAAAGATGTTTTTCGATCACGAAATGGACTTGTGGAATTGCTCCGCGGTGGTAGTAAGTCGGCCGTGGCTCAACGGCCAGGGCGAGTAGGCAGGGGCCAGTTGGCCAGTCGGGACTCCGTGAACCCCCGTGTCTTGGCACAGCCTCCCAACAGACACACACTTATGCCCCCCTTCCTCTACTCTTCTCCTGTCTGGTTCCCCTTCTTGCCCACCCCAGCCGGAGGGGAGGGGAGGGGAGGGGGTCCACCCCGGCGGCGTTGCCCCCTCCTCAACCCCCCACCCCACCCCCCCGCCCTCGCGGGGGAACTCACCGATGGAGACCAGCTTGATGTGTTCGCGGTCCAGAAACTCCAGAGCCACGGAGACGTTCTCCAGCTTCATCTGCCTGAAGTTGGGGCGCGCGTGGTACTTGCGGTACATCTTCTTCTGGCTCAGCACCTCCAGGAGGCCGATCAGCTTCAGCCCGTCGCTCAGGTCCTTCTGCAGGTCGCCGATGCGCTTGTGCATGCACTTCAGGTGCTCGTTGCACCAGCGGGTGAAGGTGTTCTGCTGGATCTTCTTCCAGGGCGCATCTTCCGCCAGGTCTTTCTCCGTGGCCGGCATCTCCTCCGGCGCTTCCTCGCCCGGCTGGTAGTAGCCCTGCGGGGGCTGCTCGTAGTAGCTGTTGCTGTTCATGGCGGGGTTTCGGCAAGCCTCGGGGGGTGTGGGTGAGAGAGTTGCGCGCGATCCGAACTTGCGGTGGGTGGGGGGAGAAAAAAAACGAAGCCGAAGGGAAAAAGGCAAGTGGCTTTGGAGAGAGGGGAGCGAAGGTGCCCGGGCTTAAGAGGGAAAGTGGTCAAAAGCGAAAGCGGTCAGCCCCTGGGCCGGCCGGAGTGGGGGGGGGAGAGGGGGGGAGGGTTCCACTTTCCTGCTTCTCTGCCGGCTTCGCAAAAAAACAAACACCCCGCAGCAGCTTTTGCGCCCGCCAAGTCTCCAAAAAGGGCTGCCCCAAAAAGGCGCAAAGAACTTCACCAACTGGAGAGGACCGAGCCGAGCTGAGCCGAGCTGAGCCGGGCCGGGGCTGGGCTGCCGGCTGGGGGCTTCTTTGTCTGCGGGAGTCTTAAAAGAGGAGGGGGGCGGGCAATGGAGGGGGGGTCCCCTCTGGTCTCTCGGCTCGGCTTGGTTGCCTTTCGTCCCCGGGCCGAGGAAAAGCGCAGGCGAGGGCTCGGGAGGGTGTGTCCGGACTTCGCTCGGGTCATTCAAAAGTGGAAGGTCCTGGAGGAAGGAGGGGTTTTTTAAAAGGCTCCGCCGCCCCCCTCGGCCCCCACCCCACGCCCGCCCCCCCCCTCGGCCCACGTCAGGAGGAAGGACTGCGAGGAATGCCTGCGCGCCCCGGGACCCATCGACAAGTAAGGGATGGGGCGAAGTTGCTTTACAACGCGCCCCCCTCCCGGCCAGATAATCCCAGCGCTCCGGATTGGCCGCTATGGATAGCAAGCGGCGGGGATTGGCTCCACCCGAAGCAAATCCGCCCCCCCCTCCCGCACAAGCGGCCCCCCCCCTGGCTGCCCACCCGCCCCCTCCCCTTCCGCAGGCCGGAACGCCAGGGGTATCTCANAATTCCTTCGCCAGCATGGATCATATAAGGCAGGGGTCTTCAAACTTGGCCCTTTTATGACTTGTGGACTTCAACTCCCAGAATTCCTCAGCCAACATCCACAAATTCTGGGAGTTGAAGTCCACAAGTCATAAAAGGGCCAAGTTTGAAGACCCCTGGGATATACTATGCATAATTCTTGACTTATGACTACAAGTCACTTGTTAAAGTGAATTGTGCCTCCTTTTATGACTATTTGTGCCACAGCCGTTAAACAAATCGCGGCAGTCGTTCAGCGAATCGCGTGGCTGTTCAGCGAATCTGCCTTCGCCTCAATGACTTTGCTCGTTGGAAGCCGGCTGGAAAGCTTATAAATGGTGATCATGTGACCCTGGGACAGTGCAACCGGCACGAAGTACATGCCAGTTGCCAAGCAATCAAATTTTGATCACATGATCATGGGGATGCCGCAACGGTCGTAAGTGTGAACACCGGTCATAAATCACTTTTTTTCAGCCCTATCCTAACTTTGAACAGTCACCTGAATGAATGGCTGTAAGTTAAGGATGGCCTGTAGTGTGTAGTATAGCATAATAGACTATATACAATAATATAATATAATGCAATCATATTATATAATATATCTAGAACTAAGGAGAAACGTCCTGACAGTGAGAACGATTAACCAGTGGAACTCCTTGCCTCCAGAAGTTGTGGGTGCTCCAACACTGGAGGTTTTTAAAGAAGAGATTGACAGCCATTTATCTGAAAAGGTAGATAGCAGGGGTCCGCAAACGTGGCCACTTTCAGACTTGCGGACTTCAACTCCCAGAATTCCCCAGCCAGAGAGGGTCACGTTATTCACCAAAGCACCAGAGGGCAGGACGAGAAACAACGGTTGGAAACTGGTCATGGAGAGAAGCAACCTGGAATTTAAGGAGAAACTTCCTGACAGTGAGGACAATTAACCAGTGGAACAGCCTGCCACCAGAAATCGTGGGAGCTCCATCACTGGAGATTTTAAAGAAAAGGCTAGACAGTCACTTGTCTGAGATGGCACAGGTTCTCCTGCTTGAGTAGGGGGCTGGACTAGAAGACCTCCAAGGTCCCTTCCAACTCTCGTTATTCTGCATTCTTACTCATCCGGCATCTTGGCAGAGGGTCAAAAGCTTTACTAAAGCTAGAGAAATGGATGACTCAAAAGATGGGCCAATGCTGGTCAAGAGGTCATCGGAGTCTCTCTTGATCTTTCCTTCAGCCAGTTCTGGAAGGCCTGGCACGAGGCCCGGCCTGCGTCACCCCTGCAGAAATAGGTTCCTCCCGGCCCTCGTGGGAATGACAGCTCCTCCAGGAATAGTAGTCGCAGCAACTACAGGTACCAACCGAGGACGGAGTAAAGAGGGTGTGTGATTCAGCTCTCTCCAAAGGGCAACGTTACCGTTCGGTGTCTAATAGTAGTAGGACACCGCAAGCCGCAGCGATCTGCTGGCGAGCTCCGGAGCTCCTTTGCTCGTCTTACTCATGGCTGGGGGGGCACCCAACCACGCCAGCCCTCCTGTCCCTTTGCTGACCCCACCCGGCTCCCTCCAAAGACCCTCCTCTGTCAAGGACAGGCCTAGGAAACCGGCCCAGCAGGGGTTCATCTATGAGTCTTTTCCCAGGAATCTCCATGAGGGAATTGGCCATTTTGTCCGGAGCAGTTGCACCCCAGAGAGAGAGAGAGAGTCCTGTCCAGGGGGGCAGCAGGAACACACAGAGAGAGAGAAAGAGAGAGAGAAAGAGAGAGAGAGAGAGCGAAAGAGAGAGAGAGAAAGAGAAAGAGAGAGAGAGAAAGAGAGAGAGAGAGAGAGAAAGAGAGAGAGAGAGAGAGAGAGAAAGAGAGAGAGAGAAAGAGAGAGAGAGAAAGAGAAAGAGAGNTAATAATAATAATAATAATAATAATAATAATAATAATAATAATAATAATAATAATAATAATAATAAGAGTAAAGTTGGAAGGGACCTTGAAGGTCATCTAGTCCAACCCCCTGCTCAGGCAGGAAACCCTATACCATTTCGGACAAATGGCTGTCCAGTCTCTTCTTAAAAACTTCCAGTGTTGGAGCATTCACCACTTCTGGAGGCAGGTTGTTCCACTGGTTAAGTGTTCTCGCTGTCAGGAAGTTTCTCCTTAGTTCTAGGTTGCTTCTCTCCTTGGTTAGTTTCCACCCGTTGCTTCTTGTCCTGCCTTCAGGCGCTTTGGAGAATAGCTTGACTCCCTCTTCTTTGTGGCAGCCCCTGAGATACTGGAACGCTGCTATCATGTCCCCCCTCGTCCTTCTCTTCGTTAAACTAGACATACCCAATTCCAGCAACCTTTCCTTATATGCTTTAGCCTCCAGTCCCCTGATCATCTTTGTTGCTCTTCTCTGTACTCTTTCTAGAGTCTCAACATCTTTTTTACATCGTGGTGACCAAAACTGGATGCAGGATTCCAAGTGTGGCCTTACCAAGGCATTGTAAAGTGGTATTAACTCTTCACGTGATCTTGATTCTGTCCCTCTGTTAATGCAGCCCAGCACTGTGTTGGCCTTTTTGGCAGCTGCAGCACACGGCTGGCTCCTATTTAAGTGATTGTCCACTAGGGCTCCGAGGTCCCTCTCACAGTTACTACTATTGAGCAAGGTACCCCCTATACTATACCTGTGCATTTGGTTTTTCTTGCCTAACTGTAGAACCTGACTTTTATTGTAAGTCCTTCTATTGTAAGTTCGATATTTGAAGACTAACTTTGGAAAAGTGAGAAATCGAGATTGAATGTTGATACTCTAGCTGCAGCTCTTGCCATAAATTTCAATATGAAGGATATTTTCTTGTTCAGATATTTCCAATATATTGTTAGAAGATGATACAGTGACAAAAAAATATTCATTCAATGGAAAAGTACTCATTGAAATAATAATTAATAGGCAAGTAAGCCTAATTACAATATAAACTGTTATTGTTACCAATGTTTTTTGTTATGCATTTGTCATATTATAGTGAATTCTGTATTATTGTTGCAATGAATAAAATGGTTCTTTTATTTACGATATTTTTTTTCTTCAATTTATTTGTGCCCTCCTTCTCATTGTAAAAAAAGTTGGTCATCTTCACACACACACACACACACACACACACACACACACACACACGTGTGAGTCAGTCTCTGCCAGGGCAGACCTCTTGAGCTGGCAGATTGCTATTTCTGCCTCATTTATGAGCAAGACGGGCAGCTTCTCCATAGGACAAATAAATAAATAAATTCTATTTTTTGTTCCCCCATTCCTATTCTTTCCGTTTCTATTTATTTCTCTTGTCTCAATTCTTCCTATTATTTGCGCTTCTCTATTCTTCTTCCCGTTTCTGTCCTTCCTATTCTTTCTATTATCACTTTACGGAAGAGAAGAGAATAACAGAGTTGGAAGGGATCTCGGGAGGTCTTCTAGTCCAACCTCTCGTGCCCAGGCAGAAAACCCTATATACCGTTTCTCTTTTATTCTTTCTGTCATTTATTTTCCCATCCTTTCTGTTCTCTCTGTTCCTTCTGTTCTTTCTATTTCCCTCATTTCCATTCTCTCTATTCTTTCTAATATTTATTTTTTTCCTGTTTGCATTATTCCTATTGTTTCTCTTATTTATATTGCTATTATTTATTTCTCTATTAATGTATTCCTACGTTGTTGTTATTTCTACAGCCGGGTTTCATGCCTGAGGCGGGACTAGAACTCACCGTCTCCTGGTGATTGGTCCAAAGTCACCCAGCCGGCTTCCATACCTAAGGCAGGACTAGAACTCCCTGACACCTGGTGATTGGTCCAAAGTCACCCAGCTGGCTTTCATGCCCAAGGCGGGACTAGAACTCCCTGACACCCGGTGATTGGTCCAAAGTCACCCAAATTACTTTTGTGCCTAAGACGGGACTAGAACTCACCGTCTCCTGGTGATTGGTCCAAAGTCACCCAGCCGGCTTCCGTCCCTAAGGCGGGACTAGAACTCCCTGACACCCAATGATTGGTCCAAGTCACCCAGCCGGCTTCCATACCTAAGGTGGGACTAGAACTCCCTGTCTCCTGGTGAT